TAAATTCCGTCCCAAGCTGACTTGGGCTTAATACGCCGCTGGGCCTATAAGCCGTGGGCTTAATAACCGGCGACTACTGTAATACACACTAAGCGTTCTTAGGAAAATAAGGCAGGTACTTTTGCCACCATCGGACAGTCGAAAGGTGCATGGGAGACGGTAGGGAGGGTGAGATCGGCCATTTAAAACACCTTCCGAGGCATATTTCTTGCTCTGAAAGTATCCTGATTTGCTATTAGCTGCGGCCAGGAAAGCTACCGACTGACCGGATAACCCAGTCTTTTTGACACACGTTGGTGAACGTTCACCTGACCGCTAACGGGACTCATCTTTCGCGTTCTGTCTTAGATCTCGCCAGAGGCCCTGACAGCTGTAACCGCTGGTAGTATAAGTAGATAATATTTCCGGCAAAGACGAGGGAGACTGTAATGGGTATTTCTGGCTTATCAACCGTCGTCGGACAGTCCTACCCAGACCCAAGTGGTGCCCTAATCGAGCCTCGAACTCGACCTAAACCGGCTAGACAATGAGCCCGTAGCTCAATGGTTGGCGCGTTTGACTCTGATCAAAACGAGTTCGAGGCTCGGCTGGGGCACCATTTGGGTCTGGGTATGACTGGCTGACGACGGCTAATGAGCCAGAAATAGTCTTTCCAGTTCCCTTGTCTTTGCCAGCAATAATATCTGCCAGTCTTCCTGATCAGTACTGTGTGTGCATGTGGGTCGCGACTGGCTGTAAGACTGAGATTCAGGCTCAATAACTCCCTCTTACTGCAGCCTCTATGGCAGTCTTATTCCAAATTGCGATCCGAGTCGCTCTCTTGACTCTGGGAAAACCTGGTTCATAGTGCAGGTCCGCATCATGTGCGGCGCGCGTAGACGGGTTGTTTAACTCTGCGCTCGGGCCTCTCTTTGGAAATCCTGACTCTGTCATCCATGCGGTTTCCAAGTGAGAAAGGAGGGAGCGGGACAGATGCTACGCAAGCCTGCTATCACTATAAACTAATGCAAATTGTAACCTTGCGCTCACAACGCTGCACGGTGGACATCGCTGTTCGGATGGGCAAACGGTCGAATAGAAAATTTCGAATGACTTAAAGCACGAAACCGCATCCGCCCTTTCTAGAAGCATCTGGACCTCCCCGCGGCCTACAAAGTCCTAGCCATTACGTGAGTAAAGGACAGGACCAGGTCAAGCCTAACATAGGATTTGCAAACAAAGACGGCCCCGGGGCGAAACCACCGGAAGAGGTAGCAGGATTACCATCATCCTCTACCGTAGAGACGGGACACGACACTGATTGCCGTCAAGTTATGCCAAAATCCACATGGAGGGCCAAACAGCGAGCGTAGAAAAATCGATCAATTCATGGCCAATACACACAGCCACAACTTTGACTTGCTGATCGATAAAGTCAGTTCACGCTTTGACAAAGGACAGCCGGCCCAGCTGTCCGAAACATCAGCGGACAAAGAAACGCATCCCGGTGAGCACACTATGATCTTTGGTTCGAATAAGGGAATTCTGACTTTTGCAAACCTAGAATTGAACGGTTTATTTTGAAGTTTTTTATTTTATTTTTAACAATAAAACAATTAACAGAAGCTCTTAGATACCACACGGCACTGGCGAGAAATAATCTGCGCTTACGAATAGCTCACGATAATTTTCAATCAAATTTAGAATACATTCTCCAGGAAGGAGGGGTTATTTGTTTGACAAAAGCGTGGGGAGCTATTCCGGCAAGTCATGATTCCCGGATCGCCCCATGCAGGATGCTTTAGTTGTTGGGCCGGCGAATAAAATCCAAAAATTGATCTGAAACTTAGTAAATCCAGGATAGTAGCCACGAGATTCATTCGCCGAAAAAGCTTTGATGTTTAATCTACCAATAGAGTTTAGTAGAGATCAGACTAAACCATTAACCAGGCTCGCAATCAATCTCTTTCAAAATGAGGTTTGGTTTAAAAAGCTAGCTGGCGTATTTACTTATACAAGATCAGTCGGAGAAACCGAGTAAAAAAATCAGAATGATTTTCCCCGGGCATTTATGTTCTTTAGGCTACTGAATACCGGCGCCAAAAACCGCCATTTAAAGAGCACGCCATTAGGCCTACAGACTGCGAGCATTCATTGACCAGGAAAACCTCTGCTGTGAATTGCCGAAGGTGATACAATTGTCATGGAAACTGTATCAAACAGCGGTGGCCGCGACGATAACCGATACTTGGCAACAGTGTGGTACAAGCGTGGATTCAATGTGATTTCAGATACTTTGGTCTGCCGGCACTTGTACAAACAATCCGGACACTGTGCTGAAGAAAGCAGTTTAGGTTTGTACAGCGACGGTTGCGGCTGTTGTTTTCGTGAGGTCCCAGGAATGAAAAACGCCGTACCTATTCGAAGGACAAAAGCAGTTCAGTCCTTAAGTTGGCAGCAACGGGGACGATGCAAAAGGACATCGCCAAACACAGCAGGCGTTCTACACCCACGCATTTTGGCACATGGCCAACGCAAACGCGGCTGTGCATTCCCAACGGCCTCTAGCTCGCGTCCGATCTATTTGAAGGACAGCTAAAGACAAGGACTCCGAAACTATCGTTAATGATTCAGAACAGCATTTGGCGAGTGTACACTTTCGGTAAATTCTCCTCAGGCCATACATTTACATGGGAGGTTTAAATCTAAACGACCGATCCATCGTCTTTCCTTACAAGCTGGAGCCCATCAGAGCGCCGAAAGATGCAGACAGTTACGTAACTGTTGGCCATGCCAAGTTCGGGGCTTGCAGGAGGTTCTTTTGCGCGCACAAAACCGGCTTCCTCAACCGGATCGTGGTCGCTTCCACTGTTGCAAGCAGGCGCTGACCCAGGGACTTTGGATAGTTTGGCGGGACCTTATAAATTACCTTAAAGCCCTCGTTGGAGGCTACACGATGTCCGGAGTCAACCATGTGTGCAAAGATGGAGCTGTTGATGCGTCTGACTTCATCTTTGGCCAGCCATGCAGGGAGCTGCTCCCGTATTCTTTTGGATAAGCGCCGACTCGTGCGACCGATATAACCTGCTGCACAGGAACAAGTAACTGAGTAGATGCACATAGAAGTGGTCTGAGCTGGCAGCCTATCCTTACCTTCACCGTGCAGGA